GGGGGGGGAGGCTGGTGCGGGCTGTTTTGTGTCTCTCTCGCTCCTGCCTCGAATCTGTGCCTTCCACTTTGATGCGCTCCTATTTTGCTGCGGGGATCGTGCTCCTCTGGCGTGGCTGTGCCCCGAGCTCGTGTGCTCAGCTGCTCCGTGTGTGCGCCTTTTGCTAGGGAGTCCGCTTGTTGCTCTTGGGGGGGTCCCCCTCTGCCACCCCCCGCAATGATTTCTGCTCCCAACTTTTCCCGGCAGAGGCTGTTGGATCCCTCCGCCTGCTCCCAGCCGCTTTCCAACCCGGCTTATACTTGCTCTTTTGTCTTTGACTGTCTGAGGTTTAGTGAGTTCGATTAGCCGGGTGCTACGAATCAAATTCGGGAAGAAAGAGGAAGAGGAGGACTGCGACAAGAAGGAGGAAGACGGCGAGAAGAAGGCGAAGCACAGCATCGACGGCATCCTGGGAGACAAAGGTAACGCCCGGCGGTCACCTGCGGGCCCGGGCCTCTTGGCCGAGCAGCCGGGGCAGTGAATGGGCGTGTGCCCCCCACCCTGCCGCCGGCCTGCGAGGTGCACGTGTGGGCTGGGCCTGCCCCCTCCCCTGCCCGTGTCCCCGGCTAAAAGCAGGGGTGAGCGAGGACGAGCTGTCCCCGGAGGATCTTGACTGGCCCTTGATGTCGGAGACACATGGGGAGAGAGAGGCGTTAATGACACCATCTATCGCTGGGCACTTGGGGGGCGGCGGGGGCTGCACACCCATCCGAGCCCTTTGCCTTGCCATCCGTCCGGATCAATGTATTTGTAGAGAGGCTGAGCCCGGGGGGGGGGGGAGAGGGGGGCAGACCCCAGGCTCCTAAATGAATTTGTTAAACAGATTTTTTCTCCTGCTATCTAAGTGGTCCCCTGAAACTCTGCCTGACAGCTGACCGATTTGGGCAATCAATATCAATTAGCGAGGCCGGGCACCAGCCCCGGCCCCGGCGCTGCCTAGGGAAAAAGCCCCGTCTGGACCCGGCCCTCGGAAAGCCCCGGCCCCGCTGCCCGGGGGCCGGCCGGGCTGGAGGCATCCGGGCTCGGAGCAAACTTGACCCTGCCGTGAACGCAGCCGGGGGCTGTGCCGGGGGGGGGGGGGGTTGCAAGGACTAAATGCTTCGTAGTCGCAGTTTCCCCAAGGTGCCGGGGAAGGGGGAAGAGGTGCAGGGGGGGCGTCTGGAGCCGGGATGAGCTGGGGAAAGTCCCACCCTAACATTTCCCCTTGCTGCAGTGTTTGCTTTTGCCGTGGGGAGGACTCCGGGTGCTTTCAAATGGGCCGCGCAGGAGGGGAAACCCATGCGGGGGTCGGGGAGGGGTCTCGGAGGCACGGCAGGAGAAGCGCTTTTTCCCACGGGGGCAAGTTTGGAGCCGGGGCCAGAAAAGCCCCGATGGGCTGCCCGGGGCCCGGCTCGGGGAGCCCCGG